GTGGCAACCATGTTAACGTCCACAAAAACTTCGTCCGTTTTTGCAGAGCCTCCATATAACAACCATGTTAGCGTCCATAAAGACTCCGTCCGTTTTTGCAGAGCAGCCATGTGGCAACCCGGATAACGTCCACAAAGACTCCGTTATTTCCCGAAACGCGTGCATGCGGCAACCATGTTATCTATAGCGTCCACAAAGACTCCGTCCGTTTTTGCAGGACATCCATGTGGCAACCACGTTAACGTCCACAAAAACTCCGTCCGTGTTTGCAGAGCATCCATGTGGCAACCCTGATAACGTCCACAGGGACTCCGTTTTTTTGGGGGGGCACCGCTAAGAAGCTAAAGGAGGGCAACTCCAGGACTCCGCGAGGCAATCCTGTTTGTTTCCGCTACAACGCCAAGGGCTGCGCTAAGGGTGCCAAGTGCCATTTCGCGCACGTTTGCATGCTATGCTTTGGGAAGCAAGTGCCCGACCAAGCAGACGGAGATGCCACTGCGTCCGGAACTAAGGTAACCAACTGACCGCCGGTTCCGAGCAAGGAACCAGCTACAGCAACGGCTCCGGGTGTGGTCACACCGCAGCTATGTGTGCTTTACCTCTTTGCTGGCAAGCCCCGCAATTTAAGCTAGACATGGCCTCGTGTCTGCAACAGCTAGCCTCTGCACAGACGATAAACGCACTGCTAAGCACGACCTCAGTTTGCCGAAGATCCGGCACAGATACCTCGACCGCATCAAGGCTAAGGAGTTTGATGAGGTGTTATTTTCGCCTCCCTGCTCGAGTTTCTCTCGCGTCTCGGCCAAATCTGCTCAGCCTGCGCGGATGGCTGGCGGCCAGCCAGACCTATCGCCCGCGGAGGACAGCCGCCTACGTTGGAGCCTCCATTCCAGGGGGATAGGTCCAAACCAGCCCAATCGTTTAGGGTGTCAGATTTCGGTGCGGGGGTGTCTCGCTTCGTGTATGACCGAGAGGCACAGCTAGAACTCGAGCCTCTGCCTACCCGCCCGATCCAGCCCACGAATCCCCGGAGCCTCTAGCGGAAGATCCAGAGGAGGTCCGGACGGACCCGTCGGGTACCATTCCAGCAGACGACCTCGAGGCCCTACTGGTAGAACAATTCGCTGCACGGGGAGACAGCTCTTCCGATTCTGAGGATACTTCGGCTCGCCGGAGCGCCCAACAAATCTCCTTCAGCCTACTCCAGAACGGCCCATGGGGAGCTATACATGCCTGCAAAGCCGGCGAGCATAAAGCCGCACGCGGAGCGTCCAAGACCTCCGCCTCATTCACGCCGGCCGAAGCCTCGCCGCCGTTCTTTTGCAGACGCAAAGGGTGCTCTCGCCTACTGGACGCGATGCCTTGAGGGGACAAAACGTGTGCCTCATCGCCCGGCCAGCTTCGCCCGCACAAGCCTATCTTTTCTCGCCGCAGCCATTTTCAGCTTTTGTTAGTAGGTTTGACTCGCACGATCACAGCCATGACGTGCTCCGACACCTCGTCCGAGCTCTCCAAGTTCCTAAAGGAATATGGAGTCCACGAGGTACTGTCCAACGCCCTGGCCCTTAAAGGGCTGGAGACAGTGGACGATTTTGCCTATGCCTTCCCGGAACTGCCTTGATTCAGTCCTAGGGAACCTCTCAGATTCGGACATGAGCGACATGGGGTCCTCGGACCCCCTCCACAGAGTCCATGCAGCCAAAATCCGCAGGGTACCTCAGCCTACGCCTACTCTTCCGTCAGCCAGCCGCAAGCCTCCCCAGCCTCCTGGGTGGAGAATCTGCCCCCCAAAATGAGCCAGGAGGCGGCCCAGGAGCTAGTCAACGATTTTAAGGTTAACTACCCTGGAGAGTTGTTGGATGAAGATACCACGCCCAGCATTCGCCTCCTCAGCTTGGTCCAACACAGCCTAAAGCCGGTGGAAAAGATTCGCTGGATCCCTTGGCAGTTCCGCCTCAGCTCCAAACAAACAGTATGCGGAGATTATGGAAGCTAAATCTTCCAAGCCCATGCGGAGCGAAGCGCAGCTCCTAGCCTCTGCTCTCTACGACGATACGCCTGAAATGCCAGTGGCCTCCGCCTAGCAGCGAGCTGGCTTTCCAGAATCCAAACGGTATACCGTAATGCCTGGACATTGTGTGGAGCAGCCCATCTTAATAACCTCCAAGCCTTTGATAAGAGAGTCCTAGACCTCGCCCTACCAGAGCTCGCAGACTCCAGCCTCAGGGGGCCTACGACTCAAGAGTTGCTGGCGGCAGACAGAAAGGTTTGGGGCACGATAGGTAGCCTAGTCGCTTCAGGATGGAGGCTTTGTACGAGGTCACCTCCATCCGCAGCGACCTCTCCAACCTCCTGCAGCCCGCCCTAAGCCCTAACACAGGCAAGGACCGCCCCCTCCCAAGCGCCC